TGTAGCTGTGGCTTGCCACCTTGCCGCGACATCCGCACTAGCTGTACCTTTCCTGAAATCCCTCCGAGAGAGGCCGTGCCCAAACTTCTGACGGATGTGCTTTTGACATCGCGTTGATTTTGGCATAGGGGTATCGGCTGCTTGCTATATTGTTAGCTGATCGTGACCCGCAGGACCCACTTCAAGCGATGTGTCGTCGCTGTTCGGGGAGAGCACTCAAGGAGAGCAACAGTGGACACATGCTGGGAGGTAATGGCAGAATGCAACTTGGAAGTCCCTCTTTTTTTCATGTGGCAATGCAGCAAGGGTCTGCGGCCAGTGCTGCAGGAAGGCGCATTACTTTAGACCCGCTGCGACGCTGCACAGCCATGGCAGGTATCCCAACGTGTTCAGAACCTTGTTTGTACTTGAAATGTCGTGTGTAGCAGGATGGCACGGACCCTACTTAAACAGGTGCACGCATGTTCAGTTGCCAATAAATGCCAAGAGTACTTACAGCCTGGTGCGAGCAGTGCGCCCATGCTCGTATTGTCTGGGCTGCGCTTCCAATCATCTCACGCATGTTCTAGGAGTTGCCGGAACTTCTGTCTTCGCGCCCTTCGGGCAAACCACGGCCAGTGCTCCAGGAGAGTGACACGTCCTGCTGGATACCATTGTTAAGTTTCGTGCAAGCCGGACGGAATCTTCATTCGTGACATCACGTCGTGAGAGTCGTGGCCATAATCTTGAGCGTATTTTCTTTGGGATAGGGTGCGGCTCCTTCTCCAGGAAAGCAACCATGAGTGAGATGTCTATGGCAGCTTCTGTTGAGTGGTTCGCGTACTGCAACTGCATGTCCGATGCAAGAGTAGGTCTGGTTCCTGTTATCGCTCCAGTTTGCGGTCTGCAGGAGCCACTTCAAACGATGTCTCGTCGCTGTTCGGGGAAAGCACGCAAGGAGCGCTCAGTGGATGCGTCATGATGCTTGCTCCTCGTTCGAAGCGTAGGCGGAGTCCCAGCATCACACACACGAGAACTCGCACGCTCGGCTTCCGCTGCCAGCATACAGAGGGGGTCTTCTGGTAAGCGGCACTGCAGCAAGAAAGCAATATTGACTGTTGAGGGTGGGCTGAGCTCCCAGCAGAGGCTTTTTTGCAAGCGGTAGTTTTGCCGAAGTTTGCTCTAGTCTTTCTAAGTGCTTCTGATTCTACAATCTGGCGCAAGCAGGTGTATCCTCCTCGCATAAAGTTTTACAGCATGTTCATCGCTGTGATAGTACCCGAAGCCATGCGCAATGGGTCAATAGGTCCCGACAAGTCCAGCCCCAGGCATTCGACAGCATGCTAACACCCGGAGCGTCCTGACCGGTGCGAGCAAGTTTCCTGCTCGAAGATTGAAGCATGGCTTGCATCGCGGTGTGATGATAGCCGTAGCCCGCACCTCCTCCATGTTCTAGGAGTTGCCGGAACTTCTGTCTTCGCGCCCTTCGGGCAAACCACGGCCAGTGCTCCAGGAGAGTGACACGTCCTGCTGGATACCATTGTTAAGTTTCGTGCAAGCCGGACGGAATCTTCGTTCGTGACATCACATCGTGAGTTCTATGTGTGGCTTGTAGCAATACAGCCATCGCCGATAGGCTTGCGCAAGGGAGCTTGTCCAAGTTCGAGCATCTGGCTGCAGGAGTCGTGCACAACGATGTCTCGTCTCTGTTTTGAGGGGCTTGACAAATCAGTCTCACATAGCTTGGAGGTTGGCATGCAGCGCTGGCGTGCCAAGTTTGAAGAAAAACATATCCGAATCCGGAGGTGACTGGGCTCGAGACGGAATTGCAACATTCACCAAGTCGTTCAGCACCAGCGCTACGGTTGCTTTTGATCATCTTCCTTTTACCGTTGAGCAGAATCATCGAAACGTTCCGAACGACTTGTTCGTTCAATGTTTTCTTTGCCTGGTGTTCCCTTCAGGAGGACTGAACCAAAGGCAAAGCTACAGAACGCTACAGATCCAGCTGCCAAACCTGCGGCATTCAAGGTCGCAATTTTTACGGCATATTATATGCAAAGGGAAACTCCCAGCTCGTGTCACATGTCGCCTTGTCTAGCTGAGAAGGAAAGGTTTGTTTCTCCCAAGACGCAAGTTTCGGCTCCCCGCATGAAGCAGTCGCGTGCGGAGCTCCCTCCAGTCACTTTTCATCCATGCGACAGACAGGCCGGAACGCGGTGCAAGAGGTCTTGACATGTGTTGCTTAACACAGAGGCCGTGGCTGAGATTACCTCCTTGGGGCGGAGCCATGCCTGGCAGAAGGCACGGGGCCCAGTCCTAGGGCCTAGGGCGTGGCAGCGTGGCAGCGTCCGTACTCGAACAAGGCCTTGAGCCGGCTCCAGGAAGCCAGTGCCGGCTCGGGCTCGGGCGCCTCCATCGCGGCCTGGAGCAGCTGCATCAAAGCCTGCAAAGGCGAAGGGCGCTGGCCGATTGCCATAGGCGCCGGCAGAGGGCACTACCCTGCTTCTCCGCTTTCCCACGACGTTCTGCAATGGTCTAGCCTCGTCAGGCTTGCACGATGCCATGATGCGCAGCATCATCAAGCCCAATGTCGTCAGCTATGGAAGTACTGTCTCAGCTCTTGCTGCTGACGTGCAGTGGGTGCTGCAGACGCACTTCAGTGTCAGTGAGAGACATGCCGTCGTCTGCGCTTCTTTTCGAGTGCAGTTTAGCATGTTTGAGAGCTTTCCGATATCACCTCTTCGAGACAAATCGCACCTCAAGGCAAGCTTCAGGTTCCGAGAATCCGGTTTTCTCTGGCAGGTCCGTTGAAAAGCCAAGGTGTGGGTGCTGAAGGCATTGGAAGACATGGAGAGTCGTTTTCTTCAGCCGAACTTGGTGGTGTTGAACTCTGCATCTAGGCCGCATTTACTGCTGCAGGCACTACTAGTGATTACTACTGAGTTGCGAACGCAGTCTAGGCAATCCGCTCATGCGGCGAGTGGAATGTCGCACTGGCACTACTCGATGACCTCCAGCAGAACTTGCTTGAAGCCGATGTGATAAGCTTCAATGCTGCCATCGCCGCTTGCGCAGCCTCGCACAATTCGGACAGACTGCATCCTCCGTGTGTTGTTGTTGTGTACCTTCACAAGCCTGTCTATCTGTCATTCCGTTTGATTTGGACTCAGCTCAGGTTCACAACTGGGAGGTGGGGGTCGAAATACTTCAGCAGATGCATGAGGCCTTGATTTTGCAGGTGGGATGTGCCCTTTCTATCCGAGCTTCATGTTATGACTGGCCATGGCAGTTCTTGTGCACAGGATGTGGTGACCTCCACTGGTGTCATCAAGGCTTGTGGCAGCAGCATCCAATGGCAGGCACCTTCGGCTTCGCAAGAAAGGATTCTTCGCGCCGTAGCACCCGCACCGCCCGCACCCAGTGCCCGTTGCTTGCGAGGTGGCCTTGGAAGTGCTCGACACGACGTCTCGGAAAGGCCTGGCCTGGCCGCGTGGGCTTGGGGCTGGGGCCCAAGTAACGGAGTCGAGTCCCCGTGCTCGGGCGAGGCCTTCGACTCGACGTTCTGTGCTTCAACTGCGCCCTGAATGCATGCGAAGCTGCAAGCAGGCAGGGGGATGCAGGGGGCCGCGGCCCGGCAAAAGAGCTACTGAGCTACTCGTGACGAGCAGCGCAGATGGGTCTCCGCTCTGCAGCTGATCGGAGCAATGGCCTCCATGGAGCTTCGCCCCGAGCCTGGCCTGCAAAGCGCCTCAGCAAAGAACATACAAGGGTGGCAAAGCCGCCAGCCTTCGCCAAGGATGACGTGACGTTGGGGACTGCCACCTACGCATGTGGCAAAGCCGGACGGTGGGAACACGCTCTGCTGCTTTCTCTATCTCTACATGCTGGGCAGAGGAGATGCACGCAGTGCTAGCTGGAGCTACTAGTAGGTTGCCTTCCAGACTGGAGGAGCGTGTTTTCGCAGACGGCAGCAGTGTCAGCATTTGCGAAAGCGGGGCGATGGGATCTAGCGCTGAGCAGTTTGGACTCTCGAAAGCATATCCATATGTCATCCCGCGGTTGTTTCTGCTGGTCCTGCGGCTACACATGCCCTGAGGAAAGCATGCGGCAGTTATCTACACCGCCCAACCATGTGACCGTCGGTGCAGTGATTTCAGCGTGCTGCCCCCTGCAATTTTCAGCCTTCACGGCAGGGGTGCATGCAAGCTGAATGATTGAAGAATTCCCACGCCGCTGAAGATGTTCGTAGTCGGAGGTTTGCCAACGCGGCCTGTTGGGATCGAGCTTTGTCTCTGCTTTGGGAGAGCAGGCCAGAGGACCTTTGCTTTCCGACGAATCCTTGTGAACCAGACAATGTGGCGAGGCATACGCTTCCACTCACTGTGGGCTGCTTCTTTCCTGCAAGGCCGTATTGTAAGACTTGGAAAATGCAAAATTTAGCTGCAAGTGCTACTCTGCTACTTGCTGTCCGGCCTCGTCCCACGCGTGTGCTGCCATAGACATGTTTTTCAAGCATTGGCGTGAGTCACACGGCAGTTTCGGATTTAATTGCTGAGCCGAGTGGAGACCTGACAGACTCAGCCATGCCAGCCCCGCCGGGATTCCCTCGCGAAGCTGAGGTTTCAATGCTGCCATGCAAGCGTGTCACCTCGCGACTTCGACTTGACTCTGCTTGCTTGCTGTCCAGAAGTGCGGCCATCAGCAGTGCTTGATATTCCTGAGGCCGGCCAGTGGCAGCATGCCCTCCAGGTCTTGTGTCAGATGGAACATACACCGGACATCACCAGCCAGAATATCGCAATGAATGCCTGCGGTCTCCAGTCGCAGTGGCAGCGCGTCATCGACATGCTGGAGGATGGCCAACCCTGAACCCAAGCCCTAGAGCCTTGGAGCAACCCTGTTGCAGGACTGCCGCCGCCGAGAGCTCCAAGCGGACGAGCTGACGCACCGCGCAGTGCTGACCGCCTGCAGCGCGGCCACGCAGTGGAGCCAATGCTTGAGAGCCCGGCTCCCGGGGCGAAGCCACGGGCCGCGGGCGTCGCCTCAGAGCCGAGAGCCGAGGCTCTGGCTGAGCGGCCCATCGCTTTGGTCTCTCAGACCATCGCCATCGACTCTTTGCGGGCGGAGGGCCCATGGGCCCTGGCTCTGGCGCTCCTTCAGGACCTGGAGCTCCGAGGCCCCCCGAGTTCCGAAAGATGGAGAGAGGACGTGCTCAGAGTAGGGGCGGAGGTGTGGAGTTTGACACCGTCCTTTGCAACGCCGCCATCAACGCCTGTGCCGGCAGTGGGCAGTGGGAAGCCGGCCTCAGCCTGATGGCACGGATGTGCCTTGGCCTCGCGTTTAGCGGAGTGGCACAGCTGAATTTTGCCACAGTCATGGCCTCCCCGTCGATGTCTGAGGCATCGGGAACGGATCGAGCAGAGCGTTCGGGTCTCAGTTCCTGTGACATCCTGTGACATCCGAACTCACCAGACCCGGCGCTTTACGGCGCCAGGTCGCGACCCACACCTCCGTTTTGATGGCATCTGCCGTCGCTGCTCTCTGGGATGTGCCGCTGCTGAGTTCAGGATTTTGTTTTGGTTGGACGCTTCCGGGTAGTTTGGGCAGCAGGTGGCGCTGACGCTTCTCGGAGATTTGCGGTCGAGATCGGCATCGACCTTGCAGCCCGGCACGGGAGCTGTGTCAGTTGCATCTGAGAGGCGGCCGAAGGCTGCAAGCCGTTCACTATGGTTGCCAAGGGCCGTTTACAATGCAGCCTTAAGTGCCTTGGGGAGCACAGGCCATTGGGAACACGCAGCAGCCCAAGCCTGTCGGCCCAGATGAAAGAACACGCTGCCCGTGTAAACATGAGGCCTTGGTGATTTACAATGCAATGCAAACGGAAGGCGTGCAAGTTGACCTGTCCCGTGGCTTGCACCAAGGCACTTCGTCTGTTTGTCTTGCAGGTTTGTCCTTTTTGGTTTCCTAAAAGGATCACCTGCAGCTCGGCAATGAGTGCATGTGAGAAGGGCATGCGATGGGAGCATGCCTTGGCCCTGTTCTCCGACTTGGCGCACAACGATTTGCAGCTCGGCGTGCTTTGAGAGCGCGATTCGGTTCGGATGAAACGGAGCTCGGAATTGAGGACAGCCGACGCCATCTGCTACAACGCAGCCATCGAGGCTTGCTCTGCTGCTGAAGAGTGGACCATCGTCAGCGAGCTCATGCGAGCCTCCCTGCAGCTCCTCGGACCGAAGCTGGAACAGGTCACGGGTACAATCGGGTACAGGTACATCTGCCCTGTGGCTATGGCTACACCTCCCGCTTCAGTGATTCAGGTCTACTCACAGCTTCACCATCGCAGCCTATGATCATGCGGTGCAAGCAGGAAGTTCTGTGGATTGCTTCAAGCATATCGTTCTCATTTGTCTACTGCAAAGCATGGTCAGAGATGGCGACCCCTTCCTGTTGATCGACACGCACGCTGGAAGAGGCAAGACGTTTGGAAGGAAGATCCTGGCACGGCGTAGCACGGGTAACGCAACTGCGAAAACCAGATCAGATCCTGTCAGGTCTTTACGACCTTACTCAGGAGGTGCCCCTGCAGAGGAACGCCTCCAAATGGGGAGTTCAGACTCTTCGTTGCAAGTGGGTTGAATTGGAGGCCGCGCAGGCAGTCGACACGACTTCTGGAAGAGCCCTCCTAATCTAAGGCAACTGGCAGAAGCTGCATCTGCCTCCGATGCTCTTGTGGATGCTTTCGTCCGCACACAGCGCGGCTTCTTCCTCTTCAACAGAAGAATGGCCGAGAGATTCTACCCAGGTTGCGGTTGCTCGGAATCTGTAGAAAGAAACTTAGTTGAGTTGAGGCTCTCTGGATCGTGACTTCCAGCCTCTTCCTCTTCGTTTCTACTTGGGATCTCCGGCCATTGCGCTGCAGTGGCTTCGGCCGCAAGACCGCGGCCTCTTCTTCGAGCTCTCGGAAGCCCGCCTCGGATCAGCTCGGCTCTGCTTTGTATACATATATGTACACATATATATATATATGATCTAGATACACACGTAATATACATATACATCATATAAAAGTACACACACACATACGCATGCGTATGTATGTATGTATGTATGTATGTATGTATGTATGTATGTATGTACGTATGTATGTATGTATGTATGTATGTATGTATGTACGCACATATATATATATATATATCTGTAGATATGTGTATAGGTAATAGTAACAAGAAGAATAAGAAAAGTATCAATGATAATAAGATTAGGAATAATCATAGTATGAACAACAACAACAGCAACAACAACAACGCTCGGCCGTGACGTAAACGGCCGCCGCACAGATGCGGTGATATATATGTATGTACATGTATATTATATGTGTATATATATATATATACATATGTATATGCGTATCAAACGAAGTATAAAACATTAAGATATAAAACATAAGACAGGATAGAATAATTAAAGAACAGCATATCATATAAGTAGACGGTATAATATTCAGTTTAGATTTTCTAATGTGTTATGTGTACGGACTATTGTGCTATTTAGGTTAATATTCAGTGTAAAGTGTGCAACATGTAGTTCGTAATAAAAAGTACGTAATGTACAATGTACGGCATGCAACATGAGAAACATGTACTGCATGCGACATGGTTCACAACATCAAGCGAAATGCAATATGCAATATGTAGCATGTAGTATGTCGTATATCACATGTCATATGTTATGTAGCCTTTGGCATGTAGCATGTAGTATGTATTTTGCAATAGTCCGTGTGTCGTACATAATCTGTTGCATGAATTATATAGTTCTCGAATGTGTAACAGGTCGTTTATGGCACTTTCGAAAAGTATTATGTAGTACATAATATATAGCGTATGATTTGTAACGCATAGTATATTTTCGATAAAAAGTCTGCTATTTTTCACGAATATGGGTTACATAGCATATACCATAAAGATATCACACACACACACTAGAGCGCGTGTGTACATATACCTAACATATACTTGGTTTATATGAACATATACACATGTAGTATACACACACCGTATATATGTTTGTGTCCATATATATGTATATGTATATGTAGATAGACAGACAGTTAGATGGATGGATAGACAGATAGATAGATAGATCGGTAGATAGATCGATCGATAGATAGATGGATAGATAGGAATGAAGGTCTGCGTCTAGGGCTTTGGCTTCGGCTATGTCTCTGCCTATGCCTGCCTGCGCCTATGAATATGTATATATATATATATATGTTTGCATTTGTGTTTTTGCTACTGTTTGTTTTTTGTGCACGTGTCACATGGCGCGACAGAAGTTTCGAGCTTCGTCTGCTGGCTGCTTGCAGGGCTCTGACACGGGTTGAGTTGGATCGCCAGAGCTGAGGAGCCCGTGTTTGCAGACCTACAAAGTTGCTTCAACAGCTTGGCTAGCACATCAACGGCGTCCTCAGTCGAGCTGCGCTGTGCCAACTCATATTCCTGGATCTTGGACCACCTTGCAACGCTTCCCAAAAGAAGCCTCGTCTTCGTGGATCCGCCCTACGACTCCTGGCCTGTTATCAGCATCGCAGGAACACATGAAAGGGCCGAAACTTGAGTCTGAGGAGCCCTACGATGTTTCTATGGCCTGCAATCTGGTGCTGCTTGAAGAGCTGCTTGAAAAGGAGCGGGACCCGAAACGACAGTCTTCCCTAAACTGGGCCTCTTTGGGAATCAAGGGTGACTGCAAGTAACAGCGGAACTGTAGGGCCAACACCCGCTTCGCGAGGAAGCCTGCTGCGTCGTGTGGTATCCCTTGCTGGATGGCCTTGACATTGCGCCTTTTTATCACCGGATTGCAGAGCTGACCAAGGCAGCTGAGTGGAATGTTCGAGCGCAGCAGCAGGAAGCCGTGTTGAAGACGTTCTTTGGGGTTTGCTGTGTCCGATTGAGAATATCAAAGTTCTGCTCATCCTTTGGCCGTCCCTCTCTCCCCGAGTCTTCTTGACCGTGTTGTAAGCCGCCTTTGCCGGGCTTCCTTTGTCAGAACGTCTTCCATGTTGCTGCCACAACCCTCTCATTCATTCCTGACGACGCTGTACATCACGCCGGGATGCCAAAACGCCTTCTGATCAAGCAGCAAGCACTAAGCACCAGGAACAACCATTGAACTCGCTTGGAAAGGTAGCAGGAATGCAAGAAACATCAGATTAATTGCTAGAACCAGACGCATGAATGCAGCACTGGAGCTGGCCTAAGAGCTAGACTTGAAGGTCGATTTTCGTGTTACTGGGGAGCGTCTGTCCGGACCGGTCGGGTAGCGGCCTGCCGATTGTCGCAAATGCCTGTGCGGCCTGCTGTAGGGCGTTCGCGGCAGCTGCCAGGTGCAGGGGGATGCACTGGTCGTGGAATTTGGGTTTGAGACATCCGGCTTGACTTCGCTGCAGAGCTCTGGAATTCTCATGACCCACCCACCACAGAGCCTTGAAATGCAGGAAGTGTCTTGGGGGCAAACCGTTAAACCAATCACCGCTGCAAAAAGCACCCGCCCGTATCGCGAACTCCGATTCGTGCCAGACTGAGGATAGACTCACAAGTCGCGAAGAGCTTGGAAACATTGCGACTCAGAGTGCAGGTGGAAGGATGATCTGCATGCCCCAGAAATTGGGCATTGCAGGTTCTGGATCCGACATACACGTTGCTCTGGGGTTTTGCAAACTAAGGGCTGAGAAGCTGGACCCTGAAGGCGTGGCGGGTGCCCGTGTTTCGGTGTTTCGGCTGTCTGCTTGGGAAGGGAAAAAAGATCGCCGCTCTGAGCTTGCTTCACGTGAGTTTTATTGCAGCCTAATAGCATCGCACCTGTGAGTTAAACTCATGTGCCAGCGTGATCAGTACAGACAGTAAACGTAATGAAGAGAGATAGCCACACAAATGCTTTCCAGTTGTGTATTATTCTTACCTCTTAATCTGCGGTCTTTGTATTTCTAAATTAGGTGAGACTAAAAGGATAGTAAGCCGAAAAGACTAAATTTACTAAATGATAGCTTCTAGTAGCGGTCGATTATTCATATCGTTCGTCTCTTCTTGCTTACTTTGGCTCTTTGATTTCCCACTGCATGGCTTGCTCCCGAGTTGTGCAACGACTGCGTCGATTCAGTCACTTCCGCCTCAGGCTCATTTTAAGGAGAGAGCGTAGCATGACCAAGCTGTGCAATCAGCGTAGGAGTTCGCTAGTTTGACCGCATCAGGTCGTGAGGCTGAAAGCTCTGCAAGACAGCAAGTCGTCATGAAGCCTTCAGGGGCTGATTGTGCTTGGGTGTCGAGCAGTCAGAAGGCTCTGACTCTAGAGCAAGACTAGAGCAAGAGCATTCCTTGGGTGAGAGCTTCAGTGACTTGAGAGCCATGGCCGGGCGCTGAGAAAGTCCTCATAGATGGCGGCAGACCGACCCAGCGTGGAGCTCAACAACATGGCCGAGGGCGAGGGCGAGGTGGAGCGCCAAGTCAGCGACGAAGCCCTCTGCTGGATCTGCAGAGACCCGGACAGGCCAGGGAGTGCCAGTGACGCTCAGAGCTTGTTCTGATTTTGCATTGCCTTCAGTGCACTGAAAGCTCCAAAAAAGCTTTCAATGCCGTTCGCATCGCTGCCAGGGCCGAGCCCTTGGTGGCACCGTGCCGCTGCCGTGGGAGCATGCGCGGAGTGCATGCGCCGCTCGGAGAGAGGTCGCCGGTGAGAAGTGCACGGAAGCGCACGAAGCTGAAGTCTGGGACCTCAGCCGAGGAGCTGCATCGAGTCCTGGGTTGCTGCGAGACAAGAGCAGAGGATGCGCTCGGAGATGCAGGTCAGCGGAGTAGACATGGAGTCAGCTTGCTGGGCTCATCTGTGCTCTGCGCCCCTCCCCCCTCCCGCAGCCGCAGGGTGGTAACAGTGCTCAGCCCAGAATCTGCTGCGATCTGCCGGATGCTCACACTTAGCCGGGCACGCTTGGAGGGATTTGGCAGGGCTGCGCTAATGAGGTGTGGCGAGCCTTACCAGGCAGAGCACCAGCCAGCCAATCTTTGCGAATGTCTGCGGGCTCGGCCCCAAGTCTTCAAAGTGTGCTCGGCTCCGCTCCGCTGCTCCGCTCTGCTTTCCTCCCGTGGAGGCCCACTGCCGCAGCTGTGTAGAAGAGATGCGAGACTCCAGGCTGAGTGCCCGGCAGGCCATGTCATAAGATTCCACTTCTTTACAGAAGTGTTTTTTGTACCTCGGAGCCGGAGGTGCTGCTTGCGATATTCATCAGCACCTGGCTGCTTTTCGTTCTTTTGGCCAGTGCCGCGTTAGTAGCCGGCTTTCTAATGCAGGCCTGGCCCAGCATACATGACCCCTGAGATGCCATTTTTGCGGGGACCGGCCGAGCTTTCAGTCAGGCATGCCGAAAGAGTTCCTGCTGGATGGCAAGTACTGCGCTGGCTCGGGCCTTCGGGCTTCGGGAGCTTCTCTGGTTTCCGCTTTTCAGAGAGACTGAGGCACTCTGCCTGTTGACCTTGCTGCTCGAGACGCTTGCTCAAAGTACAGCCACTCGTTGTGGGAGGTGTCATTTCTTTCCAGCTTCGGGTCCTTTTCGGCAGAAAGAAAAACTTGAACTGTTCAAGAGGACCCTTGTGAAGCTACACTTATAACATCGGTGGCTCCACACCTGGTTTCCGCGGATTTGCACACTTCTTTGGTCCCGAATTTTGAACTGAAGCAGAAATCACCTTTCAGAGGATGGTGGTCGTCTTGGTATCCTTCCCCTACTCGGGGACTCCTCCCAGCTGCACGGTTCTACGGCCTTTCCACATTTCGGCGACCGACCCCGACACGAAGGTGCCACGCCCGCATGAGATCCTGCCGCACGACTCATCCATTCCGTTTCAGGCCGTCGTGTTCCTCCTGTGGCTTCATTTGTGGATGGCACCTCTCACCTCCGCGCTCTGTGGCTGCCTTCTGCGCGCGGCCTCCGTTGGTCCCAGCGCCTCTCGGCCTTTGCCATTTCGTCGCGTGCTGACTCTGACTTTGACTCTCTCGTGTGACCGGAATCAAGGCAGCGCCTGTGCAGGGCTTAGCGCTTGCTAGCACCAACGTGCAGAAGTCGGCGTGCTCACTTTGCGCGAGGTCGCCTGGTGGCTTCTGGGGATTTTGGTGCTGCCACCACTGATGCCTCACTTGCATTTCAGCCGCAAAGCCAGCTCTGCAGGTTGAAATCAAGGTGATGTGGCAGTGTTGCAAGCTTGAGGGGTGCGTCGGTAAGGAAGCATTCCTGCATTGCCTTGCGTGGCTTCTCCTGGCAGCAGATGGCTAGCAGTTGTGCCACCTTCGTGCAGGACAGTTACAGGCACGTTTCAGGAGTGCAGCCAGCACCACATGAACCATATTCAGGAGCTGCGACGCATGGGCAGGGCTTGCTGTTCCAGTCCCTGTCCCGCACGCCTGCACCGAAGCCAGTCCCGCTCGGCCGCTTGTGGTTCGCGCTCAGGCAGAAGTCTCGAGCGCACCTGCAGCTTCCTGCGGCTGGTTTCGACACTTGGCTTCTAGAGGTAGAAGGTGGCAGGCACGGTCGCCGCGTAGCTGAGCCAAGGAGCCCCTCTTTGCCGTGGCTGCACGTTTGGCTGGCCTTCCCTTTCGGCATCGCCTGGTTCTTCTCGGCGCCGGCCAGGCTGCGCTACTGGGTGACGGGCTTAGCTTGAGTCTTGCTGTCTGCGAATACGGCGATTACATATACAGAGTTGTTGTGTAATCAGTGTGTGAATCAGGTACTGGGCCTGAGCGGTGGCATTGGATGCGCTGCCTCTGCCTTTGCCTTGCTGCAGCTCTGCTTAAAGGGCCCTCAGCACGACGACTATCTCTGTCCCTACGAGGCAGCCACTGCAGATATGTTTTGAGCTTTGTCCGCTTTGCGCACGGCAACAACCATGTAACCATGGCGGTCTTTTTGCAGGCCTCAGTTCGAATGCATGCGGGCTGGTTCCTTTCCCTTGTCATGCTGCTCTATGCTGCTTTCAGTTCCTTATCCAAAGACCAGTGCAAGCGAAGTGCCAAAGCCATCCTCTCTGCAAGTGCCGGATCCGGGCCACTCAACTCAGGTGTTTTCGCAGAATGGCATTTCCTACCGCACCCAAAGCGAGACCCGGTGAGAGCCAACGTTGCTGTCTTCGTGGTCTGGTGCGTGTGGCCCTTCCCTCAACTTGAAGGGCCGCTCGGCAGAACGCTGTCAGTCTGCGGAGTCTGCAGAGTCTGCAGGATGTCACTGGTGACAAGCTTGGCCCTGTATGTGGGACACTCAGCTCTTCGACAGCCAGAAGCTACGAAGCCTCACATGGAGCAGGCCAACTGCTTCATGCTGTTGGGGTACAGCCATACTTGGCGCAGACAGCATGGTCGCGTGCGGATCGCTGGAGAAGCTCTGGTTCGTGTCTAGAGAAAACAGGCCATGTACGAGTCGAACTTCTGCATGTGATGCTGAAGCCGGGAAGCAGGCTGAAGACAGATTCTTCTGGTGGTTTGAAGCGGGCGAATGCAGAATTCATTTCAGCTGTTTCGGCTCTCGCGGACGCTGGTATCCGCCGACCGGGTGCACGTGGCTTCGGCTATGGGCTGGTGACTTAGTTGCCGTGAGCTTTCGCTGCGCAACGAGCTTCGAAACCTCAGTGGACGGGCTGAGGTACTGTTGGGTCGGCAGACGACTTTGGCTTGTGCAGGCCAGGCCCATGGCCGAGCCCGGCTCTTTCGGGCGATGTTCGTGTGCAGGCCGTGTGGTCGTGAGGAACTTTGTCGAGAGGCATCGTGTGTTGTCTCTCTGGAGTTTTTGTTGTGGGTTCGGGCTTGGGGGGCCCGCACTTTTTTTTTTTCCTAGCGTTGGCGGTCCCCGGCGGCCCTTGG